TTCTCTAACCCTGACTACATTGAGGTGTGGGGGCTACAACACCCTGTTACCCAGAGCCAGGCTGGCTGGGGGGGGGGGGAATTCTGGGAGTTGAAGTCCACACATCTTAAAGTCGCCAAGGTTGAGAAACACTGATGTCCGTCATCAGCAGGGAAAGAAGTAGGACCGAACCCCGCGGTGAAGGGGAAGGGGACACCGTCCCTGGCTCAGTTTTGCTGAAACTGAGCCCAGAATATGCCTCCCAACAAGCGCCTCCCTAGTTGAACTGTATGTGGCTGAAAGCAACTGTGCCACAATTCCCCGCCCATAGTGGTGCGTATCAAAGGCGCCTCTTCCCAGCATTCTTTCCTAAAATGGCGTATATCCTGGAAGCCCTGACCAGCCTCGTCCGCAGCCATTTTCTACCTCGCTTTTGCCTTCGCGCTTGCCGTGCGGCCCGCACTTAATAAGAAGGGCGCTCGCTAGGATGGACCAGCGAGGTAGTAACTGCATTTAGCGATGCGTGACCGTGGCCCACGTTCAGCAGGAAGGGCGGCCTTGTGAGTCAGGCATTGAGGTTGGAGCCTAATGTGATTAGCCTGCGACGCAGAAAGAGAAGGCCCGCTAGTGACGCCATCTCTCTCGGACTAAGGGGAATTCTGTGGGAGGTTGTCGCGGGAATGGATGGGGGCTGCGGCCCGGTTGAGGGGTGCGCGGAGGAAACTTCCAGGTGAAGGCAGCGCCCAACTGCCACCCTCCTTCTCCTTGATGGTCAGCGGTGAGTTTTGCCCGTCGGTCTTGTCTCTATCCCTGGGTGGGCCCGGCAGGCAGGATGGCTGGACGCCACCCATCTTTCTGGTCCCCTTCCATTCTGTCTCCTGTTCTTCTCGGAGATGACCCTTTCCCGTTTCTTCCCCAGCCCCGATCAGGCTGACAGACTTGCGGGTTTTTGTCTCCTACTGCATTATTATCGTTATTATTTAGAGTTCTGGCTCCAGCTCTCGTACACCCACTCTGTCTCAGGGGAAACCCGCATCCAGATGACTTGGGTTTTTGGCAAGGTGTAACGTCGCCAGATCTCCGGCAATATGTCTGTTGGGCTTAGGACATCGAGCTTCCCTGCCTGGAAGCGACATATCCTGGATGAACTGAAGCGACGAGACCAGTTACAAAGACAGGCCTTTGAAGAGATAATCTTGCAATGTAAGAGCTTTCAGGAGAATCAACTGAAATTCTTCACTTTAACTAGCAGGCAGGAATTGGCAATTTGTTGCAAATGCTCAATTATAAATACTGTGATTTCTAGACTAGATAAGGGACGTTTTGTTGTTGCGACTGTAGTTTAATTAATTGAGGTTCTGTTGATGAGTCTTTGGGCCAATTTCAGTAAACTAGCCAAAGTTCCTAATTTACTGTCTTATAATTCAGTTGAAAACTATTTTTCTTCAGTGGATTCCAGAAAATAAACTCCAAAAAGAAAAGGTTGAATGATATGTTGTATGAAAAAAAGGAGTTTGGTGTGTTACTAATCTCATCTTCATGGACTGAACATACATTTGTAAATACTCTATTGTTTCTTTCTTAGACCAGGTTCACACAGTACATTAGGCTAAAATTTGTTCACTGGTTTGTGATTCTGTGTGTTGTGCAAACCCAGTCATTTGGGTTATTTTGTGGTGCTCTGTGTTGTACGCACCCAGACAATTGGTGAATTCAGTTAACTGTGGGTTAATGTATTATATAAACAAATATTTAGAATGTATTCATTCCCATGGGTGTAATGCTATTTGCATATTATCTTTTATCTTTTTTATGGATTTTATGTGTGTGTGTGTTCCTTCGAGTCAGTTTTTGACTCCTGCTGACTGCCTGGATTAGTCTCTGCAGTTTTCTTGGCAAGAGTTTTGGAAGTGGTTTGCCACTGCCTCCTTCTTAGGGCTGAGAGAGAGAGAGGCCCAGTGTTACCCAACTGGCTTTGTGCCTAAGGCAGAACTAGAGCTTGCGGTCTCCCAGTTTCTAGCCTGATGCCTTAAGCACTACATCACACTGGCTCTTTTTTATGGACTTGGGATTGTAATAAAAAAATATAGATCCACAAGCCCTGAACTTTGAATACTTCTTGTTTACACTCTGCTCAATGACAAGGAACCTTCTCACCAGTTCAGTAGCATAAGGAGAATTACCTAATCGCTTGGAATCTTTGCTCTCAGGCCAGCACCCATTTGGTGAGAGAAAGATTTTGCAATCTGGAACAGTCTTTTAATACATCATTGAATCCTCTTCCAGATTCTATTATTCAAAACATCGGGTTGTAAAGTAGAACAATGTCCTATTAAATGACTCATTCATTTACAGAAGCCTAGTTGAACAAGTCTGAACTCATAACCATACTATTGTGCACTGTGAGAGAAAACAGACAAACAGAAACTTTATTTCGATCATTGACCAATAAAAATACATTCCATAAAACAAACAAAGCAAAATTATCCTGTAACATCAATAACTGTTGGCAATCATTTGTGGGTGAAGCTTACACATAATGTAGCATAATTTTGATACTCTTAGAGAAATAAATTTATCTTGGTTGTTTAACAAGTAATGCAAATAAAGTTTATGTGAGAGAATGTCTTCTTGGTTAGACACTTTTTCAGCATGTCTGAAGTAGGTGTAGTTTCTGTGAAACTGTTTATATCCACAGTTCAAAGACTATAATACCATGTGGCAAGCTTATTAATGGATTGTACAACTAATAAGGATCTTTTCCATTTTTAAAAAATTAAATATTTTGGCCTGTTAGATAACAAGCTCCTGGAGAAGTCAGATTTCCATTCAGTGCTGGCTGACAAGCTACAAGTGGAAAAGTATGATTTGCCAAACCGGCATGAGATCAGGTACTTTTTAAGTCAATTCTAGGGAGAGTTACTGTGTCTTCTTTACAACCAGCAATATAACAGGGCCTTTTGCTCTCCTGTGTAATATTCATTACAATTATTTACTACTAATAGCTACTGCATAACTTTGTGTTTGATTCTATACATGCTGCACATGCTTTATTTCCAAATAAGTTTGTTTATAGATATAGTAGTCTGGACCAGTCAGATATAGATATAGATATAGATATAGATATAGATATATGTTAATTTAATCTTAATTTTGTAACATATGTGGCAAATTATACATCCATGGTGATATAATTATGCAAATGATGCAAATTACATCAAATTGTGTAATGTCATTATGCGAATGATATAAATTGATGCAAATTATTATATTATTCAAATGTTGTAAATAACATACTGGTACTGTATACTTTCATATTTATTGGGCATTTGGGAATGATAGGTAAGCCCTCCCCCCAAATCATCTGTTAAAATAAGGCTTCATTATTTTAAATAGAGATCAGTGGCATACAATACAAAGAGGAATGGGAATTGCTTAATGTAATCTCAATGAAATGTCAGTGGAAAATCAATGTGTGGAGACTGTATTAGTTCTTGTGGAGTACAGGTAGTCCTCGCTTAACGAGCATTCAGCAACTGTTCAAAGTTACAACAGCGCTGAACAAATGGTATTTACAACAGTCCTCAGAGTTCCAGCCATCACAGCGTCCCTGCAGTCACATGATCGCAATTTCCGACATTCCCTGCCAGCTTCCCACAAGCAAAGTCAGTGGGGAAGCCAGCAGGAAGTCAGAAGTCACAATCACATGGTCCTCGCTTAACGAGCATTCAGCATCTGTTCAAAGTTACAACAGTGCTGATCAAATGGTATTTACAGCAGTCCTCAGTGTTCCAGCCGTCACAGCGTCCCTGCAGTCACATGATCGCAATTTCCGACATTCCCTGCCAGCTTCCCACAAGCAAAGTCAGTGGGGAAGCCAGCAGGAAGTCAGAAGTCACAATCACATGAGGTCCTTGCGTAACAACAGCAACCAGGACTGCCAGAATTGCTGTCGCTAAGCAACGCAGTCACATGACATCACGCTTTATGACCGCATCACTTAATGATGGAAATTCAGGTCCCAATTGCCGTCGTAACCCGAGGACTACCTGTAGTTTGAACATCTGCATGAATTAGATAAACTCAGCATCTTACCTTCTGTTCCTTTGGAAAATTCAGCCCAGGACATGATGGTGCAAGAAATGATGCTCATCTTCAAGAAGTAGCTCAATTAAGGATTAAACATCAAGAGGAGTTGACAGAGCTGCACAAGAAACGGGGCGAGGTTAGGAAAAATTTGTCCTTACTTGCAGCAGTACAATGCACAAATACTATTATTTGATTCTCTATCCCATGAATTTCAGAACAATAAAAATGTATCTCCAAAAGAAC